TCACCTGTGCAACGCGCTGTGCAATGCTTCGTGCAAGTCGAACCTTCCGCTTGGATGAAAAAATTCCCAATTTGGAAAAAAATAAATTGGAAGATAAAATGTCCTCATCTGTTCAGGCGAAATAGCGCATCGCAGTAGAAGGAGATGTGCGAAGTGTGTTGAGCAGAATGGGGAGGGAGAGCCGCCAAAACGACTTTGTTTCCTTCATTTTTTTCTTAATTCGTGTGAGCATTCGATGCGTCAGTCTTCCCGGTTTGTGCAGTCCCCAGGAGACGTGGTCAACGGTGAAGACGATACACATTTAGAAGTTCCCCGTTGTCGCCCTGCAGGCAAGGCATTTCTAATGGCAGGCACGCAATAGTGGCAACGGAGCGGGGAGACGACCGAAGGGAAATAAAATGGCAGGTGGAACGGCCCCAGCAGGGGGGGTGGAGTACTGACTGAGTACCCCCCAAATGAGGGCGGATACATGTCAGGGGAGCGTCGTAACGATTTTGGGAAAAGAAAATCGAAATTGTGAAAATTGTAAAAATTTTGAAAATTATGTAAATTGTGAAAATTTTGAAAATTGCAAAATGGAGACAACACAAGGGGAGAGAAAAGTACGCCCCCTTTTCAGCGTCCATATGGTTTTGCATTTTGGGGTGGGAAATGCGACGAGGGGGTCGTCACCTTTTCTTCATCGATTAAGTAGTGACGGTTGGAAGGAATGGGCAAGCGCAGCCACGTCGTCCATCCGTCCATCCCATTTCCCCTTTAACGTACCCACCGTGGGAATAACGTGACTCCAAAAAAGTGGCAGAGGAACGTAGAAACACGCCATGTTTGTCCCTTTGTTAGGAGATCCGTTTGGACAGAACAAAAAAAAGAAAAAATAAATACATTTGAGTGTGGAAGTTTTTCCTTGTCCAATTTTTTGTGTGCATGTAAATATATGTGTACGCGTGCGTGTTGACCAAACAGCCAGCCAGCACAACAGGTGGGAAAGTTGAAGTGTCATTTAAGGAGCGTCCCAAAAGGATGCGAAGCGTGAGGAGGGTAAACATCTCATGTGTTGTATGTTGTTTCGCCTATTCATTATTTACCTACTCCCTATTCACTACTCCTTATTCGCTACTTCCTATTCGCTCCTCCGTTTTTTTCTTTCCCCTCTTTTTCGGCCCTATCGCCATATCGCTTCGTCTAGACCGCAACAGAAATAAGAAACTTGTTCTCACCCCGCGTGGTGTCTGCCTCGCGTCATTTGGTGTGGTACCCGAGGAGTGGCCAGGAAAAGGCGGGGGTCTTTAAATGCCGACTCTCGAAGGGGTGTGCACGTGGACGGAAATGCGCATGGGCAGAAATGCGCATGGACGTACTTGCGTGTGTACGTATGCGCGCGGCTTCTTGGCTAGAAAGGGACGAATAAAAGAGGTCAAGTTTTATGTGCATGTCATTTTGTTTTGTTTTTTTTTTGGCATTTCCGTATTTCTTTGCTTTGGTATTTCCGTTTTTTTTTTGCTTTGGTATTTCCGTTTTTTTCTTGCTTTGGTATTTCCGTTTTTTTTTGCTTTTTTTTTTTTAATTTTTTTTGCTTTTTTCTCATCTCCGCGTTTTAATGCAGCGTGTGTTCGGGAAAGCATGCGAAGCTTGCGGGAGTGGGGAAGTGGCGTGTGTGCAAAATATGGACTGTCGGCGGAAACGGGGCAGAAACAGAACAAAGCTGAACAGAACGAAGCCGATCGTAACAGAGCTGATCGGAGTCATCTGATACGAATGAACTGATCGGAATGAACCGAGCGGAATGAACCGAGCGGAATGTAACTGCGCTGCACGAGGCGTATGCACATGCTCGTACACACACGGACATGTGCCAAGATGAACAAGCTAGCAACTCACTCGTGCCAACAGGCAGTGAAAGATTTAGGATAATTCTAGGATATACATGCCTAGCACGTGAACCGAGGTGTATCATTTTTTTTTTTTTAAACACATATGCTATATACCTTTATTTCTTATTTATCTGTACTCTGTTTTTATCTCTTGAATTTTTTTTATTTTTTATTTTTATTTTTATTTTTTTTTTTTGCATGGATATGTTTAACTGTAAACACGCTTGGGGTAGCAATTTATTCTGTTTTTTATTTTTTGCCATTATGTTTGTTTCGTATGGTTGCATTCTTTATGATCTGTGGCGCAACTCCTCCGTCTTGTTGCGTTTCTGCTCATCCATTTTTTGTTCTGCGTGGCGTCGCCTCTTTCATTCTGATTGTCTATTTTTTGTTTTTTTTTTTTTTTATTTCCACAGTTTCCGCAACCGTCCACGTTCCTCTTAACTTTGGAATTCGATCAATTAATTTTTGCCGTCACGTGTGAGTAGCGAGAAATTTCTTTTCAATTTTTTTTTTTGTATCGTCCGATTTTATTTTCGTATCGCAATTTGTGTTGTTCATTTGTCATGGTCATCCACCGTTCTTGTTTGTTTGTTCGTTTTTTTTTTGTTTGTTTTTTCGTTCGTTTGTTTTTTCGTTCGTTTGTTTTTTTGTTTGTTTGTTTATTTGTTTGTTTGTTTATTTGTTTATTATTTTTTTTTTGTTATTTTCCCCACTTGCATTCGCTTTAGGGAGTTTTTCCATTCATGTTCGTCTTCATTTGTCGCCTTCTACCCCCGCGCTTGGTTGTTTTCCTCTTTCCATTTCTGCGCCCCCTATTCCTTGGCGTTTTCGCGTAATGGCACGTCTTGCGGCGGAGAAGAGAATAGTAAAAAAAGGGAAGCAAAATTAAATAGGAATACAGAGCAATACAGAATAGAACAAAAAAAAAAAACAACTTTCCATTTTGCTTTTTTTTTTTTTTTATTCCAGTTCGTCTGGCGTGCAAAACGTTGGACATATTTGTCTTTTTCTTCCTGCTCGCCCTCCTGTATTTGCTCCATTTTGTTTGCTTAGAAAAACTCGCGCGGTTGTGTGATGTTTCTGCCGCATTGTAAGTTTGTTCAGTTTGTCTTTCCGTTTGTTTGTTTGTTTGTCTATTTGTTTGTTTCTCTATTTGTTTCTTTGTCTATTTGTTTGTCTGTTTGTTTGTTTGTCTGTCTATTTGTTTGTCTGTTTGTTTGTCTGTCTGTCTATTTGTTTGTTTGTTTGTCTGTTTTTCCATTTGTATTCCCCTTTATTTGTCTCCCCATTTGTTTCTATTTTCACTTTTTGTTTGTCACCTTGGCATTTTTGTTCCGTCGAGACACTGTTCCGCGGAGAAGCCGACACCCTTGGTTAACCGGAAAGCAGATGTGCATGCCCACCTTCATTCACGTGGGAGGCGCGTCAATCTGCCAATCGGTCCCTGGCCACGTTCGGTCAGTTTGCAATTCATGCGTACTCGTCATTTGGCTTAACTTAATTCTTTTTATTTTAAAGTGGAGATAATCGAAGTTGTCTAGTAGTTTATCTCCTGCTTTGTGTATTTATGCGCCTGTTTGTTTGTTTTTTCTTTTTTGTGCATATTTTTATGCGTACTTTTTTGTGTGCGGTCCCTTTGAGGCGTTCCCTTTTTGGCGACCCAGTGCTCGCAGCTGCGCCATAGACCCATGGGTGTATGCCTGGGCGTGAATATATTTTCCGCCAGTGAACAGAAGAACCTTCCTAAATTGTTTCGAAGAATTTGTGTGACTGCGCAGGTTCGAGGGGAGTGTTCTGCCCGTCGAACCCGACACGTGCCCGTGTTTGTTCTTCCACTCTGTTCTTCCAATTTGTTTTTTGAGTTTGTTTTTTCAGTTTCATTTTTGAGTTTGTTTCTTCAGTTTCATTTTTCAGTTTCTTTTTTGAGTTTGTTTCCTCAGTTTCATTTTTGAGTTTCTTTCCTCCGTTTCTTCTTTGAGTTTGTTTTCTCAGTTTCTTTTTTGAGTTTGTTTTCTCAGTTTCTTTTTTGAGTTTGTTTTTTCAGTTTCTTTTTTGAGTTTGTTTTCTCAGTTTCTTTTTTGAGTTTTTTTTTCAGTTTGTACCTTAGCGCTCCCACACCATCGTGGGCAAGTTTCCGCCCCCCGCGCATCTTTCCTGTCTCCCTGCGATTGCACCGGGGGCGACCTCTCAATTTTAACCGTCTCACGCGTGCTCCCATCTGGGTAAATGCACTCTCCGTTGTCAAAGTGTTCGCGATGGTGTAGATTCGCTCTCCGTCCCAACGGGTTCACGCTTACGTATGCCCACTCTTTATTTAGCAACGTCTTCATATCCATTGGGAGAGAAGTTGACATAGCATTTTCGTTTTCCTCCTTTGTGATTCATAAGTGGTTGCAACTGGAGGGGTTCTACATTCGTCGTGTAAAAGTTTGTAACCGTTTTTTTTTCCTGAATTGTTTCTGAATTCTTTTCTGAATTTTTTTTTGAATTTTTTTTTGAATTTTTTTTGAATTTTTTCTGAATTTTTTTTTTTGTTTCTTGCAAGTCTGCAGTTCAATTGGAGGAGCCTTCAGCATGAGTCTGTTTCGCAAAGTTCGCTTCGTCTGTCTAGTTTGCATAGTTTGGCTAGCTTAAACCATCGCGTGACCATCATTCGTCGCTCTCATCGCGCATAAGGCATATATCGCACATGTTGAGCCTGTTTGGTCCCGTATACACCCCCTTTTCTTTTCTCTCTCACTCCCGCGTGTCCATTTGTACACCTTTCTAATTGCCCCTTATTAATCAACATTTCTGTTGTACGAGTCATTGTGCGTGACTTCTCTCCCTTTTGGTTAGGGCACTTTGAGGGTGAAGCTCGTAAGAACCGCTCTTTTGTGAGCAGCAGGGCGCCTCCTCAATCGGTACCGCTGCAATTGTTGGCGTGAGGGGGATACCTCGATTGACGTGACACATACGACTGGAGTGACTCGTGGAGCGTCTCCCTGTTTCCTGCTCCCAGATTAGCGGAAAGACAGCATAGTTATTTTTCCTAATGTGTTTCCCTTTTTTTTAGTGTAAACTAGACATACTAGTTTGTTCGTATGAGAGGCAACCCTTAGAAGAGTAGTTCCAATGTGAATGCCATTCCTTTGTACCGCCTCGACAACCAATCCACGATTAGAGACCAAAGTGTTTTTCCTACCGAGTTGGACAATAGAAAGGTGAATACCTAACATAAGGGTGTTTTCATCTACGGGGCACACTAACGAGGCGTATCAGCGGAGCAAGGAAAGAATCCAACCGACCGAGCGCACGTATGGTGTGACCCTTCCCCCCCTACGCAGAGTGTCCCACTGCGTGGATATACATAGATGTTGTGTAAGAAGGAAGAAGGTTCCCTCCAATTGTTTTAAGACAGCGTAAGGGTAAATGCAGAGCGTTTCCCTGGAGTTATACCCTGTGGAGGAAATCGAGCGAGCCCTTCCGGACGGGGCCTACCAGGGGGGGGTCGATGTAAAGGGCGATGTGAGCAGCGATGTGAATAGGGATATGAACGGCGATGTGAACGGCGATGTGAACGGCGATGTAAACGGCGATGTAAACGGCGATGTAAACGGCAATGTAAACGGCGATGTAAACGGCAATGTAAACGACAATGTAAACGGCAATGTAAACGGCGATCCAAGCTCTGGTGTTCGTGCCCAATCCCCAGCGGACGAAACCCCCACACACCAGGAGGAGACGACCCACAACGGTGTAAGCGGTGTAAGCGGTGAAAGCGGTGTAAGGGGCGAAATCGGCGAAACAGGCGAAATCGGCGAAACCAGCAAAACAGGCGAAATCGACGAAACCAGCAAAACAGGCGAAATCGGCGAAACGGGCGAGGACAGCGAACCAATCAAGTCCAATGAAGTAACGATAACGAGCGAGCCAATCATCGTGATAGACAAATTGGAACGCTGCTTAGTAGTAGAGTGGTACGAAAATGAAATCCGAAGGGAGCAAAGGATCTCCTATAAAAAGTATGGAAATGACAAGGCCAAATTAAGAGCAAAGGAATTGGTCGAAAAATTAAAAGCAGGGATAACATTCGAGCAGCTATACCCAGACAAAGGACCACCAATCGTCCGAGTGTATAAGGATGTCGGAATATACCGAGTGTCTTTGATAAGGGACAGAGTCGAAAGAGAATGGAGAGTTGAGTGGACAGACAAGGACACTCCAATGAAGGCTAGATGGTCATGCAAAAAGGTAGGTAATGATGAAGCACAGAAGAGAGCAGAAACATTCGCACAGAGTATGATTGAAGGAGTTTTCAATCCTATTTTGCTACATAAAGCTACGGGCACGAGATTCTCCAGATCGGACAAAACTGTTGTTAAGGTCAATATGTATATGAAGAAAAAGGTTAAGAGGAAAAATAAGTGCAAGATACTTAATGATGGGGATAAATCTTCCCTAATTATGGGAAAAGGAATGAAGGATGGATTAAGGAAAGTGAAACGTCTGAGTGATACTCTTGATGGTTCGCTTGTGGAAGGATGGGACACGGTTAATAGGAACCAGACCTACAGTGGAAGTGGAAGCACTTTGAGTAATCTTTTTATGCAAAATAAGAGTACCACGTTGGATACAAGGACAGATGTTACTTATATGGGGAGCCTCAAAGAGGAGGATGCTAAAGTGGCTTCGCCTGATGGGAGTTACCTTCTGAGTGAGTATCATCTCGGGGGGACCCCTAAGCAAGGGGGAGGTATGACTGGAAAGAAAAAGTATTACAAGCCTAGGGGAAAGTGCACGAAGAAAAGGGAGAGGATAAAGAAGACAACAAAGGAGGGTGCAAAATTGAAGGGGAAAATGGCACAACGGGTAAAGGACACGATCATCGGTGCAATGGGTGACCCTATGCAGGACAATTTGGAAGATCAATGCAGAGCTCCTCAAACGAATGGCCCAGCGGACGTAAACTTATTCAGTTGCTATGTAAAATTGGGAAATGTAGACTTACCTCCTTTCTCATCCAACAGTAATCTTCTGAAGAATGAGCCAGACATATGCGACCCGTTAGCCATGCCATACAGCGACAATGGGGGGGTTATCTTAGACTCTAAAAATGGAATCCTAGAATCTCGTGGCATGACGAACAATTACTTCGTCCCCTGTGAGCAGTGCGAAGGTTACCACACGGGAAGTTTTATGGCCAAGAGGGGGGACGACTATTCCTCTAGGCATGCATATGCAATGAAGAGTACTTCCCAAGTGGTCTATGTGAATCGCGGCGTGGAAAGTGGAGCTCTGCATTATGGTGATGAGCGTTATGGGGATCTTCTCTGTGGTGATGTGATCCATTCCAATGGGCACACTTTTCATTACGGGGGGGAGGATCCCTTCGGGAGGAGTCACACCAATCGGAGTGAATATCTTCCGGGGGGACGAGTCGCTCTGTCCGGAGGCGGTCTCTCCGGGGGAGTTCTATCAACAGGCCACTGTGCGAGCGTCGCTGTGTCGAGAGGAGAGCGGTATAGCCCCTACTTGGTGAGTTACAGCGGCGGGGGAATGGCGACCCACATGGAGGCGGTCCATAGAGCGGCACAAATGAAGGCTATGCATATAGGGGCACACATGAAGGCTATGCATATAGGGGCACACATGAAGGCTATGCAGAGGGACGAGCCAAACGATGGTTTATTACGCGACATTGTATGGAACCCCCAGGGGGCTAACCTACTCCCCCAGAAAAGCCACATAAAAAATAGGAAAAACGTGAGGCAGCGAATCTGTCCTTTGAAGAAAATAAAATGCGAACGTTGTGGGAATGACGTGAAAGGGAAAGCCCCACGCAAGGGAGCCCAAAGGAACAAGGAGACGAAATGCCTCCCCGTAGAGGGGAACGATGTTGGCGGTGTTACCGGAATTAGCGGTGTTTCTGGAGTCAGCGCTGTTCCCGATGTTAACGTTGGTGGAAACGGAGTAGACGATCCCCACGTAGCTTCGAACAAAGCAGAGAGAAAAAAACGAAAGCGAAGCACGAATAGGAAATTCAAGGAGGACTTCCTACTCGATGAGGAATTGAGTAAGTATTTCTTTACATACCAGAATTTTCAGTTAAGGAAAAACCAAGAGGCCCTGAAGAATGAGCCAGATGGAGTTATGGGTCATGTTGTGGGTGATTCCATGGGAGTGTGCAGGGGAAGGGGTCATAGTCACCTGACCGGGGAGGTGTGTGGGGAAAATGCCCACATCGTGCATGGGGGTGCTGCGCAATTGAGAGGCATTAATCAGGAAGCATTTGAGGCAGGACAGGAAGGTACCTACGGATATAGCGACCGGGTACCCACCGTGAAAAGGAGCACCCGCGCCAGCAGCAGCACCAAAAGCAGCGCGAGTGTCCATTTTAACACAAATCATTATGTCCTAATGAATGGTAACGTTATCCCTCTTGAAAATGCAGGGCAGGAACTCCTGACAGAAGAACCTCCTACGAAACCTCGGAGACGAACGAAGAATTCCAAAATTAGTCGAGCTAGCCAAAGTGCTTTAAACAGGGTAGACACGATTAGCCAAAAGGACGATTCAGTTTTTTATGATGAGAGAAATGACATGAAGGCGCCTTACCGGATGTACAAGCCACATGGGAAGAGAGGAGACTCTGCGTGTGGTGGGTTTGGATCGTATGCGGTGGCAAATTTCGGTGGTATGCTGGTGAGCGACTCTGATTTTGACCCCAAATCGAGAAACAACAAGGAGGGGAGCGGTGGTCACGTGCTGAATGACAATATGGGAGGGGATTCGTCTGCAGGTGAGCTTCATCCAAGCGGTTTGAATTACGAAGCGGGGCCCCACGTTAAGCAGCAAGGAGGCGTCGCATGGAACTTCCATGATAATATCGCAGTGGACATGGGAGTGGACAGCAAAGTGAAGAAAGGGGTGAACGCTGGAGGAAACGTCGGAGCAAACAACGGACCAAACAACCGAGGTGAACTTTCTAATCTCCCTCGTAGTGACGTGGCCCAAGGGAAGACTCACGTAATGAACCTAAGAGGGGCGAGAAGGAGAAGCACCCCAGTGAGTAGTGATCAGCCCTGTGAGATCCATCGAAGGAAAGACAATTTAAATTGCTCTCTCGTGAGAAACAACACGATCGAGTTTGTAGATAATCCAAGAGGGTATAGAGTACCATACGAATACCAGTCGCGAGTATTTTATGAGCATTTCGAGGTGCCGATAAATGCACAAAAGGAATTTGAGTTACAGCAGAGGTACTTTGCCCGCTTGTTCTCTTTGCACATTTTAGCCGTTGGATGGAACACTAACAAGAATGCCCGCGTGGAGGACTACATTCAGGAGCTGTCCGATCCTGCCTTCCGATTTCTCACCATGGGTGGCATGGATACCTCTGGGGATGCCCCAAGTCATCATGGGTCTCCCGCTAGTGAGAAAAACAGACCCAATGGCGACCTGGAAGGAACGTTGGGCGAACTTAATCGCGGCGAATTACAGAACGGGGGATTCACTACATCTAACAAATTAAAAACCGAGCAGAGGGGTGCAGACTATTGCTACGTTAACTCCGTGGGTGATGGCAGCTCGGGGGTTAATGAGGATCAGTCTGTGATCAACGTTGCCCTAAGCGAAGCGCAGCACTTGATTTCTCCAGGCGAGGAAATAACTGATGGAAACGTTCCGGGTGAGGTGTCTGACCTCGATGGGGAACTTAACATGGACAAAATGAACCACTGCCACGGGGCCAGTAACATGAGGCGCTTCACTCAGCTGAACGAGGCGACCCATTTGGGACCACCATGTGGGGAGCCAGAGGTGGGAGACATGAGCAAGTATGAGTGTGCGCATCTGCTGAGTGGTCTAAATGATGGGCGCGGTTTGAGCTATGTTGCCGGGTTTGGTGGCTATGGCGGTTTTCGCGGCATCCATAGCTATGCGTTCCCGCAGAGTGTCAGCGGCATGGGGACTCCATACGACATATGTATGATGAGCAACATAGACGGCACAGTGGGAGTGGACTACCGATTGGGTAATTATCATCTTCGTAATGATTTGGTGTCTGTGAATGGGAAAGACGCCCCGGCATGCTTAAACGGGGCAGACAACATCCAGAACGGAATATGCGTAAGCTCAGCAGAAGGAATGAACGACGTAAGCCCGGCCATTGTTGAAGGTCTGATTCTTCCGAATGTGAATTATCCGAAGGAATTGAACCGAACGCATCTGCATGGAGAACATATTGTGAACCCAAATGTGAATAGCAGTGTTAGTGTGACTTATGACCAAGAGGGGGAGACAAGTTTAGAATACGTTCAGAATTACATGCCCAATGTGGATGCAGATTCGTGTGAACTTTTATTATCTAGGAGAAGCGATTTGCCCATCCAGGAGGAGGTGACCGTGGTGAGTCAAACACCATGGGAAGGTAGAGAAGAGAACGAAGACGCACCCGTTGCAGTGAACACTGAAACGGTTAACCATTACAACAGTTTTATTGAGCGAACGGGGCATGTCCCCTTGAGGCAAATTCCCTTCAGGCAAGTCTCCACCAATGAGTATGATCTCGTGACGATTGAAGAAGAGGAATTGCATTCCCAAAAAATGGGCTACATGAGTTCGCCATATGAAAGGGAAGATGGGATCAACGGCGACAAGTTAGACTCAGATGTGATGGAAGAGAATGTAGACGTTGCAGGAAAAGGAGACTGCCTCTACTATAACGGATACGCCAATGCGGACAATGGCATTGGGATGGCAGAACAAGGCATGCACAACTGTGCTGATGAGGTCAATTACCACATCGTTGCTAAGTCAAATGACGATTGTAGCAATGGTAGCCCACACGGCAATAGCGAGTACTCCATGCATGAGAGGCCGCACTACGAATTTGGACACATGATTCAGGTGCTTCCAGGTTATGAGCACCTGGAACGGGAAGGAAGCTGTCAGGATAACGTTGTGGATAGACAGGCACAGTCTCAGCTTGAGGACGCACATTATCGGTTCGGCGTCTGCAGCGGGGGGGCTCATTGGTCCACTGGAGAGGTGGTCCCAGGGCAGCAGCACACGGGTGAGCTAAGCGGGGACGGCAGCCATAACGGCACTCCTAGCGGCAGTAACAACGGCAACCATAATACAACGCCAAACAGTTACGACGACGTGGCATACAACAGCTACTTTCAGAATTCCACCATCACCTCCACATCCATTTCCAACCCCATGACGAGCATCAAAGATGTTAGCAGCTATGAAAATTTGGCTAGCAAGAGAATGATCGACAAGATAAGGTCCACTTCAAATTCGAGTACCATAAACACGGAATACCTTCCGAGTAACCTTTTAAATTCTATAAGTATAAATAATTTGTGCCCTTCCAATAATGTGAATGAACAGGTGCAGAAGTAGCCGCGGGAGGTTGGAAGGGACATTAAGGGGAGGTGTTAGGCGGGTAGGAAAAGGGAAAAAAAAAAAAAAAAAAAAGTACAATAAAAGGTACAAAAAAAGGTAACCCATTTAATGGCTACCTTGGTAAGACGAACAGATCGGAGTTCATCTTCACTGAATAATGCGCGGAACGTTTAGCACAACTGGTCGGGGATGTATGTCAAGCACAATATGCGTTTATTTGAAGCTGCCTTCCGTTTTGCCACATGGAAGAGCAGCTTACAAGGGGAGCTTGGCTTCCATGGGTGCAGTGTGTAATGTCCGTCCCAATTTTTTCCGCCTTAGCTTAAATAGCTGTTATTCGCTGTGTTAATTTTTTTTTCTTTTTTTTATTGTCCATACTGTGTAAAGCTCGTAGTTGGAACATACGGAGATCGTGCGTTTCCATATCGCAGCGCATGCCTACCGCACTGCAACCTTTCCGTTTTTTTTTTTTACGTGTTTGCAACTTCTACGTCCCTTTCGCGCAAAGCGTCTCAACTTTTGGGAAAAGTCATTCGTAAGAAAACTTCTACCTGGGTAGAGTGGGTAGCCGTTCAGGAGGTCACTTTCTCTGTGGGGAGGCATACCCCATGGGTGGGAAGAGCTTTTACTAGAGAGGCGCTTTCACTAGAGAAACACATCTGTGTGAGGGTTCAGCGTTCGGGGTAGCGAAAAAGGGAAAACATTCACCTCGCAATGCGTACATATGTGTATTTTTCTTTAAACGGTTCGAGCAGGAGCCCATCCTCACTGTCGACACTTGATAACGGACGGGGCGAGAGAGAGCATTGACCTGCTGCAAACGTACACAGGTGTATCATGCGCGGAATCAGGCGATGGGGCTACCTGCATTCACGTGTAGGTATGCATTGCATGTATGCCCACAATGGAGAAAATTAAACATTGACTGAGATAAAAAAAAAAAAAAAATCATCCAAAAGTGTAAAGGCCCATATGCGTAATGACTAATCGCCTTCGTGATTCCCCTGTTATTTAAATTTTGCTGGACCCTCATTTATCCTACTTTATTTTTTTTACTTTCCTTTTCTTTTTCCATTTCATGATGAATTTATGCCTTAGTGCTGAGGGAAACAAATTGACCACATTCAGTGACGCTGTTTCGACAAAGATGAAAGAAGAGAAAAAATAAAAACAAAAATAAAAAAGTTCGAGGCAGGATTGCAGTGTGTACTTCTGTACATATGGGAATATATTTATGGTACTTCAGGCCGCGTGACTAAGCTGCGGCACATGTAGTGACTGCTTTACAGGTGGGGTGCGACGCTGGGAGGTGTTAGCCTTTCCTACACGAGTAAATAAGTCCATACGAATGGCCTTCCGCGTACCCATTGAGATGAATACGTAGAAGACGGAAATCTAACTTGCTCGTACATTATGTGAGTTCTGTAACCAACACAGAGTTCGGTTGTACTACATTTGTTGGCGCTACTAGGAGGTAGTATATATTTGCACTCTGAGGTGTCAGCCGAACTACACGGAGGGGTGTCCCAGGAGAAAAAGAAGGAAGACGAACGAAGTGCGCGAAGCTTAAGTTGTGGAGCACCAAGCTTGAGTTGTTTGTAGGGATATTTCGTTTAACCACCATTTGAGGGGAGATACCAGCTAACCACTGCTGCGAAGTAGTAGGAACACCCCCAGGAAGGTGTAAAATCGAAACGCACACAACTGTGCACAAAGTGGGGAAAAGAAAAAAAATATTGACTAGCCAAGAAAGGGGAAAAAGAATACCTGAACGGTTCTGGAAAAGTGCAAAAAAAAAAAAATTACAAATAAGAAATAACGAATAAGGAACAACAAATCAGAGGTCACCACTCCGGGGAGGGGGAACAAGCGGCTTAGCAACCCAGGGAGGTGGGCCAAAATGTTTCAAGCTCTCTGAAGGTGATCGGGAAAGAGAAGCACTACGAAGCGCCAGAGGAGAAATGATGAGCCGCTTTGCGATCAAAAGGGCGTACAGGGCTGAACATGAGTGTAAAAAAATACATAAATATATTAGTATAGGAATTGACCGTAAATCCAGGCTTCCCGTCAGCACGTGTGCAAGGAAATTTGGAAATAGCGACTTGGTCAATATCAGTCAGAAATTGTTCCTACATAATAACACACGAGCAAGGAGATCGTCTAAGAGACAAGTCGCCAGGGTGGTATGTCCTAATTTTAAAAGAGGAGATGCCCCGCATGTGTGCAGCGCGCAGGATAGTCAGGCACACGCGTGGCGTAGAGTAATAAAGGGGAACATATTGGACAAGGGGGAAGAGCCGAAACAGGTGGGGGACGCCCCAATTGTACACACACACGTGAGGTCAGGGAGGATTGGAGAAGAGGCCACCCGCAGGACACCATCCCCAAATGTACTGAACGATAGAAACATTTTAAGTAACTCGAGTAAGTGGAGCAGCGCAGGCATTTGGACCTCTAGTAAAATGAGAAAAATAAAATTTAGGAACTTCACGCAAATCGTTGCCGTATCGATAAGAAAAGACAAGTGCGTGAAATTTTCCCGATTAAGTCTGAGCGAATTGCTACGTTGTATACTTGAGCAGTTGTCAAAGGAGAGCGACGTCAAAACGTGGAACAGCATATTTTTGCAGGTAGACAAATTGGTGTCGAAAAAAGGCAGGGGCGAAGAGTATAAAGCAGAATTGAGCGCCTTTTTTGATAAGCTCACTAACATGGAGTACTACGGTGTGCTTCACCACCTGAAGGATGTCGACGAGAGCGTGAAAAACAACATTTTGAATGGCGCCTTTTTCGAGTGCCTGGTGTTGTCCCTCAGGGGGAGGGACATAACATATTTGCACGAGAGGGTGCGTGGGGGAGAAGTGGGAAGGGGAGAAGAAGGAGAAGCAGATGGAGGAGCAAAAGAAGCAGAGCTGGCCGACTCGCCACAGCTGAGAAGGGGTAGCCCGGCGGAGGGCCGACTTGGCGACCCCGCGCAAATGGCGAAGAAGCGCGAAAGTAAGGTAAAATCGTACATGAAAAATTTGAAGCATCTTTTAAACATCTCAGGCAACGGGAGGGGCCTCAAGGGGGGATCGAGCGCGCTTGAGGAGAAGCAGTGGCAGGTAGAGGGTGAAGAAAAAAGACTGGATGATTTCGGCGACAAGGGAGAGGCATCATCATGTCCGAATAATTCGTCCAGTTTCAGAGGAAACACAGAGAAAGACGTAACAATGATCAGGAGGTGGTTTACCCTGTTGACCTACTTCTCCAATAAATCTGAGCACGTCCCAATTTTAAGAGATTATTTGAATCGAATGTTTAGAAAACATATTGACGATCTCATTCAAAAGGAGTACTTTTCCAAAACTGTGCACCAGATGACGAACCAAATAAACAGTAAAAGTATACACGCCGTTATAATGACGTACGAGAAAAATCTGGATCAGATGGCAGCATATGATTTTAGCTACAGCTTGATTATTCTCCTTCGTTTTCTTGTCTTCAGTCATAGTTTGTTTAATAGGATTATCGATCACGCCATTGGGAATCCTTTAGTGAAATTAAAAAGTGAGAAACACTTAATCCGTTTCATGAAGAGTGTCGATAATTACCCGCTGATGCATTCTCCGACCACAGGGATGGACGTCACAGGGGTTAGCAGCGGAGGGTTTAACTGCAAAGGGTTTAACTACACAGGGTTTAACAATACAGACATTTTTCAGTCCGACATGAATGATCTGTACAATTCTACCTTTTCTATTTTTATTAAAAAATTAAACAAGAAATTGAAGTTCTACTCCCTAGAGAACTTACTCTTCTTGTCCGAGTGCCTGGGAAAGGTGATCTTTATGTCGAGCACGCAGAACCAGGTTCTGCATGTGTTCATTAATAAGCTTCGCTACTACATCGATAATGCTTTGAATTTTTCCACTGTGGATAATCAGACGCTTATTCGCCTTTTTAAGATAAGCTCTTTCTTTTCCTTCGTGCCCGAGATGGAGATTTTTGTGAGCACCGGGACAAAAGGGGGTAGGAAGGCACGCAGGTTTGTAAGCGGTGAGGTATCTGTCCCGTTGAAAGGCACCCTCGTGGGAGGAGGCGAAGAGGTGGTCTCCCCATCGGGAGAGGCGAAAAACGCACCAGAAGGGAGAACATTGCCCTCACAGGGAGAGACGGAAAACGTAGCAGAAGAAGAAACATTCCCCCCACGGGGAGAAGCGGAAAATGCACCAGAAGGGGGAACATTGACTTCTCAGAGGGAAGATCAAACCAGCCCCGTGAAGGGGAACCCGTCGCCCACAGATTACAAAAAAATACTCAAGAGCAGAAATGACGACACGTTGGATGAGAAGAGAAAAAAAAAAAGCATATGCTTCAACCTGAGTGAGAAGAAAGTGATTAATTATTACTATGACAAACCGGAGGAGACACATACCTTTGCGAATCCAAGGAATCTCCTAAAAAGTTACGACCTTCTGCAGATCAGGGACAATGTCTACGACGTGAACAGCTACCTCCTGAATTACAGCTTCAATCACGACTCGGGGAAGAAGCATAAGAAGAACAAATTTTTGCTCAAAAATATAGTGATGCTTCTGTGCGAGCGGATTGATAAGAGTTTGGACGACGTCACGAGGGAGCTGCGCGGGGGCAACGGAGCGGGGAAAGAAACAGGGAAACAAGTAGGAAACGAAACGAGCAACAAAGCGAGCAACGAAGCGGGAAAGGGTGCGCCCCCCAACAGGAGATGCCCCCCCTGGAGCAGAGACAAACTGATAGACGAAATAAAACACATCAACGAGAAGAATTCCGAGTCCGACGGGAAGTGCCCCGGGGGTGACCCCACCCACAAGGAGAGCGAGCTGTACAAAAGGTACCTCATTTTTTATGATTTCAGCGTGCTAAGCGATGTCGTGAAGTTCACTCACTTTTCCATAAACACGAATAAACACACGTACGAGTTGGTGAAGTCTATAAAGCGGAGACTGGAGGAAATGCTTCTCTTTTACGACTTAAGTGGAATGTCCAATAGGGGAAGACAACTGACTATGGGTGGTGCCTCGTCATACGGCTCGATGATGAAACACATTACCACCTTTCAGTTGTACCACTTTTATTGTGCCTGTAAAAACTTCAGTCCGTCTTTCCTGTTCGAATTTTTCGACACCCTGTTGAAGATGACGCCCAAGATGAATATCATAGACATAGATAAGGCTAACGATTTGTTTAGTAAGAAAAAAATGAACAGAATGGAGCATTCGGAGATGTTTGAGAAGGTGATGGACCGTAACGTGACGATCCCCTTTGTTGTCTCCTTGTTGCGATCCTTGAGAATAATTATTTCATCCAATTTGTTTCACACGAATGACATTCTTAGTGAGCATGTCAGGACGATGGTGCAGTACTCGTACTACGTGTTGTTGTTTTATTACTACAATAAGGATAGAAGCAGCCGTCATGTAAAGCGTGGCAGTGATTTGCGGGACGCGGCGGAGGGGGAGGGAACCTCGCGGGGATCCGCCCGACTTGGCGAGAGTGAAGACGCCGATGATGAGGAGTACCCCATTTGTGAAGGCGCATCGAAGGGAGGAACTGCAGGGAACTCTCCAATAGGAGAGTACGTGAAGAATAAAGTGGACGGTAGCCGACATAGCGTTGGAAGTGGCCCCTACTGGAGTTGTCAGACGGAGGGAGCCCCCTGTAACGATGGCAGCAATTGTTCAATCATGTCGAGCGTAATAAAGTCAAGAAAAAATCACAGACAATTATTTCTCTTTGATAATGTCTATATGGAGGACCTGTGCAACACGTATGTGTGCCTGTCCACATCGCTATATTTTTTAAATAGGACAGAGGAGAAGTCCAATCAAGTGAAGCATCTCATTTATCTGGAGGAGAGGTTCCTAAAGTTAGTGACCAAAGTGAAGTATATGAAGTACTTATCGGATTATTTAATTTTTTCTCTCTTTAAAGCGCCATGCACGCTGAAATTAGAGGAGGCGTTTGATGGGATCATTCCGTGTCTGAAGCTACCCAATCGGAGGAGTAAAAGGACGAGCGAACTGCTTTCCTCCATAAAGCATTCGCAGAAGGTGAAGATTTTAAGCGTCCCAGCAGCAACTGCCTTTTTCCTGTGCAAAATTAAGTTGTCCATGTTGGGTCGCGGCGGCAAGGAGGAAATGAATGCCCTTCGAATGGAGAACATGAGGAAGCTGTTTGAGATCCTTATCGATGATTACAAGGTGTTGGCGAACTGCATCGAGCATTTATTCATTCATAGGGATGGAGAAGCGGTCGCTGGCGGTGGAGAAACGGTTTATCGGGGAAGGGAAATGGCCCATCGGGGAAGCGAATCAATCGATGCGGAGGAGTACTCATCGGACAATTCGCCTATTTCCCATCGGAGTACCTCCTTCCGAGGGAGACCAAGAACAGACTTCTCCATGGAGGATACCCCGGATAGAAGCAGCCAGTATGGAGTGTCCCCCCGCATAAGAAAGACCTATTCTTATTTACCCTACCTTGTGTCAAACAAAATGGACGTGAAGCAAAATGCTCATTTGGAATCCCTCCTAGGAGACATGTTCTTCGGTGTACACGAGGTGAAGACGTTGCATGAACTCCAAAGCACGTTGCTAAAAACGGTGAAGTATCTGGAGGCTGCTGAAATCAACTTAAAGGTAAATTATAAAATAACGCAGATTCAGCAGATACATAATGACGTCTTGGGTTACCTCTCAGAGCTGTCAGACGTCGTTAAGGACTGCCTATACATCGTCTTCCTCTCGCAGCCCTACATTCATAAGTCACCCAAGAAGTACGCCACGAAGAATTTGGTCCAATACTTACTTAATAAGTGCAGATTTGTAAGCGACTACAACATCTTTGACGACTGCAGCAATAAGTCCTTTACCGGGTTGAAGCGGAGCAAGTATATGCCCAATGGGCTGTGTGGCACTTAGCCGTTTGCTATTACGCCCTTTGCCTACCCGCCTATCTATATGTTCTCCGTTTTCCTATTCACCTATTTGTTTATCCCCCCATTTTCGTCTCCAACTTTTTTGTCCACCCGTCGCGACCTCCTTCCGTGAGTGCGCGGAGAGTATGTGTCTGTCTTCGTGTCTGCTGGTGCCTCTGATCGTGTTGCACATTTAAATGAGGCAAATATGCGTAAAGAAAATTTTTCCCATGCACACCGACCAGGCAAAAGAAGAGCGAATCTGACTTTTCTTCGGCGCCGTCCCCATGGGAGGAAAGGGTTAGACATATTGTCAACGAACACCTCCGAGGATGGAGGAGCATATGTCGAATATGTCCCATCTGTGCATTCGATTGGGGTAAAAAAATTGTTCGCCTAATGAAGTAGCATGGTAAAGGGTTTCTCTTCCCGCGTTTTCCTTACGGCAAGATGACCCCCTTTGGAAGGATATGCCTTTCTAAATGCTACTGGAAAGGGAGATTGGTGTATATTCTGATTAGCAGCCCCCTTTTTAGTGATACACCATAGGGAAGGGCAAAATGGACGGATGGAACGATGCGGGAAGGATAATTGTCTTTCGCGCCATCGCTGCAGAAAGGGTAAGTTCACTTTTTGTACTAGTCAGATGTAGACTCCCAATTTGACCAGAGGAATCGCAAAGATTTATGCGCGATTATGGGAAGGTAGACAAAATTAAGCAAATCGAATAAGCATTTTAATTGTCCTGGGGGGGAGAGGCAGCATTTGAAAGTTTGCCTACATACACACATGTGTGCGGGAAGCACCTAGGTTTCTTTTTTTTTTTTTTTTTTTTTTTTTTTTTTTTTTTTTTTTTTTTTTTTTTTTCTCCTTTTCTTCTTCGCGTTAGTGTAGATGAGAGCATAAACTGTTAGGGCTATGTCACTGATGGAGGAACTGTTAGGAAGGCTTCTCGGTATCACTTCTCATATGCGCTGTCTAAGCCATTTTGCGAAGCCTGCGTGAACACGGGCAAGGGTTCGCACCTGAGTGTAGACCTGCGGGCAGACACAAGCAGTGCAGCAAAGGAAACGCCTGAAAGGACATATATTTATGCCTGAGCATGTGTCTGTATACACGCCCTTATGTGTAGCCAAAAATGACAACGGAGGAAGTGAGCCAGGCCGGCGCTGCGCAGGCGGGGGACGCAAACGGGGGCAGTCAGGAGTTAGAAAAGAATGAGCCAACAATGGAGGGAACAATGGAGGGAACAATCGAGGCAACAGTAGAGGGAACAATCGAGGGGACAAGCCAAGCTGAAGAGAAGAATGAAGATGTGCAGGAACGGTTCGAAGCCCTAAATAACACCATCGAAAATATGAATATCCACTTTAATACGATTCTAAAGGACAATGAAGAGAAATACATTTTGGCATTCAACACCTACATGTATGACGTACAGAAAGAAATACGTGTTTTAAAGAAAATTGTCAAAGAAGAAAAAATAAGGGAGCTAAAGGACGAACGAGTGAAGAAACTGCAGAAGGAACTTAAGTGGTACATAAACGAGTGCCTACGGTTGGACAACGTTTCCCAGTTCTTGAAAAAGGAGGCGGAGAAATGGAAGAGGAACAGTGAACTGATGAAGAATCATATGCTGTTTTTGGAGAAGAAGCTCGCCAAGATGTATGATAAGGTGATTTTGAAGGAGGAGATGGGTGTTGGAGCGGAAACGGGAACACATGCGAAAGAAGGACCGTATTACAGAAAGGAGGGTAACGCACAGAAGAGAAATGCTGCCCCAAGGAAAGCGCAAAAAAGAGAACAATATGGTGGGGGTGCGCAATGTGGAGCACAGAGAGAGGGCGGAAACACCGAGTCAACACCGAAGCATAAAACCAAGATGGAGGAGAACAACTCCAAGGAGTTGCAGCACAAGGTAGCCAATTTAGAAAAGAAACTGAAGAAGCAAATAAACATAAATTGCAGTTTACAAGAAAAACTTACAAAGCATTACATCGAAAAGTCGCAGTATGAAAAACTGTTCATAGAATGTGCGCAACAAATTAAAAAAGACCTAGCCAAATTAGCCATCAGCAATGACAAGGAGAAGTACGTAGAAGAGAATTTCAGGTCATTAATGAATGAAGCAGAATTGAGTTACTTTACCAAGGAAGAAAAGAAGAAGTTACTCGTGTCCTTTTTCTCCTCCAACGATTTAATCCAGTTTGTGAAGAAAAACGTTTTCTCTAAGGAGAGGGCGTCCTTCGACTTGCAGGCTAAAAATAGCTACTCCAGTACCGCCATCAAGTACCAGAAACGGTCTGACATTTCGCCCTTCATTCTGTGAGCTGAGCGTGTGTCTACTTGGGTACCTCACCCGATAAGCATACAGACAAACGGGTGGACCTTTCTCCTGGGTAGATGCGCCCATTTGGGAAAAAGCCAGCACGTGTGTGTTTATGCGTATGCAACTGTGTGCATATCTATATGCATATGCTTCCTGGAAGTGTGCGGCATTTACGAACTAGCTTTTTTTTTTTTTTTTTTTTTTACCACTTTTTACTCCCCAATGTCAGGCGATTTTTAGTTTTTTTTTTCTGGCACTTCTTACACACTATGTTTATACAATTTTTAATTTTTTTTTTTTTTTTTTTTTTTTTTTTCTCAATTTTATTCTGACTTTTTAACAAAAAATGGTTAAAAAGAAAACGCATTTGAAAGGAAGGCCTAAGAGTGGAAATTTGGATAAGGAACAAAATAGAACTATTCACCATTTGGAGGGCAAGTTTTTAGGCTAATTATCTACAGCGAGGGGAATGGGGTAGTTACTTCCCCTTTTTTTTCTCATTTTCCAGCATTTAGAGAAGCGCAAATAAAGAGAAAAAAATAAATCAAATAAAATAAAAAGATCGCTGCGTGAATGGAATAATTGAGATGAGGCACAGAAGAGAACAAAAAACTGTACAATCATGTGAGGAAAAAGCACAACCATCCGGTGAGGTGCACATCCCCTTTTGTCTTTTCCTGCACACTGTTTTAAACTCCCCAATGATCACTTTCTCTGAAATGCGAGAAGAGGAAGTAAAGAAAAAAAAAATGCGACCGTAGGGGAGAACAATTCGAATGGTGGCACACAATAGAAAAGGGGAATTCCCCGGAAGTATACACAAGAGCATGCGTAACTCCCGCGCTACCAGTGAGAGCCCCCACACTATTTTAAACGCTAAAAATGTTTCTGATCAATACGATTAAGGGAATCCTTCACTACGAGGAGGAAGGAAATAATGACGCAGCAGGGGAAAAGGAAAAGAGAAACAGAAGGGTTCATATTACTGAGCCGAAGGACGAAGTGTGGTTATACAAAAGTGAGCATAAGGAGCGGCTAAGTGAAGACCATGCCAGTGAATATGAAGATGGGAGCTTTTATGGTGAAGAAGGTGGAAAGAAGCCAAAGGACCATTTTTTAGAGGTGCCGCTATTCGATGAAGACGAGTGTGGACGGAGCATCCAAAAAAATTTGGTTAAATTGCGTAAAAACTTCTTTATCGTGTTTTGGCATTAGTTTTGAGACAGTGTCAAGTGGGCAGCGGGGTATACAGCCACGTGGCATTATCCCCCCCTCCCAAATGGATGCAGCAACAGTGTTCTTTTTTTCTTTTTTTTTTTTATTTTTTTTTTTTTTGTCTCACTTCCCTCGCATTGTCAAACATCTTTATGCAGAGGTACCTGCCGAGTAGGAAAATAAAAGCGATAAAGAAAAGCGAAGAGTCCGAAGTCAGCGAAGAAAGTGTAAGCACCACCGATGATGAAGAAGACATGGAGGAGCCTTTTCTCGATCTGTACGAGGAATTAAAGGTTAAGATGAGAGCCTTCTCAGTTTGTGGACATTTCTAAGCGACGTGTTCATGGTGTGTTGTGTAGAGTTGTCTCTTAATCGGTTCGGCCTTCTCTCCGTGGTATAGCTCTTGGCGGTGTGACCGCCATAAGCTGTGATGCTCCCCTTCTTATCTTCCTCATCCCGTCGATTCTTTTCTTCCCCCCTTGACAGAGAGAACAAAGCGTAAAGGAGTTCTACAACCCAATGCTGCGGCCGAGGCTGTGGCGCTTCGAATTTTTTATAAAATATATCCATAACCTGGAAAATCAGTTACAGAAAAACTTTTACTTAGTATCCTTCGGAAACATCAAGTAGGGCTCCAATTTTGTGAGAGTATGGTACAGCTTTGGCGGCGATGTGTGGAGGCGTGTGCGGAGAGCGGGTGGCGGCCCGGGTGGTAATGCCTGTGCCCGATTCGACTTAACTGCTTTCCTTTCGCAGGAAGCTGAAGCTCTACGGAGACCTGAACAAGGAGGTACTGTACACGCCTGGATATTCCATAGAACCGGGGGAGGTCAAATACTTGAAGATTCCACGTAAGGGGGAGTTCGCTTCGGCAGGAGTGTGCTGGAGGGTAGGTGCATATGCACTGGTACGTGTGCCTGTGTGTACGCGCCTGCCCGAGTTGACATGTTGAATTGGCTGTACCTTCCTCCCCCCATTGGCAGTGCCCATCTGGAGCGAAAAGGAGTTCAGCATATCCTACGAGGACTTGCAAAACTTCCAAGTGGCCATCGAAATGTGGTGCATAAAGGGGTTTACATTCAATGAGCTGTACGCCTCGTCCATGAAGACGCTGAAGGAGGTCATTGAAAATGATCCTGACACGAACGTCATCCTGAAGAGGAAGATCGAGAAAAGGAACATCACTTTTGAGGCCCAGCGTTTGGGGGTAATTCCCGCCTTCGGCAAGGCCGCCCGATATTAGCCACGGCAACGCTTGGTATTTGCCATCTTTACGCGTCAAATTTGGCACCTTTACATTTATTTCCTCCTGTGATGTACTCTCCGATGCGATTTTCCCTGTGCCTCCCCTTGGGGTGCGCTAATAGGGGGAACCATTCCGACCACACATAGACATAAGGATATACAAACGGACGGACGAACCCACGAACGCACCCCCCCCCCTCCTCTCCACTCCGCAGGTTTACATGCAGTTGTCCGAAATCTTCGAGTTCCACATGGCTCTGGACAGCTGGTGGTTCATAGCAAATCCAGAAATGCCCAGTTACTTAAAAACGCTGCCCAAATTTTTGCGGTTCAAATTTCCTCTAAGTGAAGACGACTGGGTGATTCACAGCTCGCACAAGTCACAGAACAACTTTTGGCTCTACCCCGGATATTTCTGTTTCATTGGGACGTATCATCAGCTTTCCAATGCCTTTTTCATCCTCACGGTAAAATATGCAGATGGGCATAAGCCCGTATGTATGGTCCTGTCAGCGGCTGTGTGTGCGAGTGAGGGGACACCCTTTTCGCCATGGCTGATTTTTGCTTCTGTTGGTCATTCGTCGTTTAACGTCCCCCGTTTAACGTCCCCCGTTTAACGTCCCCATTTTGACGCCCCCCTTTTAACTCCCCCTTTTTAACCACTTCAAGGTGCTGTCCCACAACACCAGCTACCGATACAAGCCACCCATCCTGCTTGGGTCCTGCATCATATCTTTGAAGTCTGTTACGGAGCACCCGTTTTTCAAGTAAGGCCGATAATTGCGCTTCTGCAAGGGGGATGCGACGGCGCTGGAGGAAAGCTCATTCAAAGGGATCCCCCTGGGTGTGCGCACTTTTTGGCTTCGTCTATGCGGTCTACTGATGTTTTTTTCTCTCTGCCTGGGTGGAGTTTTTCTGTTCTATTCTCGCATTCTTCACTGTTTTAATTTTTTTCCGTTTCGATATTTCTCTTTTGTGGTTCTTCGTTTGTGTGATTTTCCTTTTTCTCATCTTTCCCTTCTCTATACCCACCGCACCGGCAGAGGAACTGTGAAGAAGCTAACCCTAGACAAGAGCAAATTCAGGCAGGGAGAAATTGTGGGGAACATAAAGTGCTTTGTTAACAGCTACGGCATAGAGGAAGGGGACATTCCTGTGCAGAGGCCCGTCCAGCCGCTAAGCGACGTCACGCTGCTGAACCAGCTCGATATGAACGACCACTACTTGGTCATCAGGTGCGTGCCCTGGGCGTGTGGGCAAGCACTTATGCATGTGTGGAGATGTGTCTTTCTGGATGGGTGTGTCTGTCTGGATGTGTGCCTGTCTATATATATGCTCCTGTGTGCCCCTGTCTGTCCCTGTGTACCCCTGCGTATGTATCCTCATCATCGTACCCATCGCTGCCTCCCCCTCTGCAGAGTAATCAAATGCGAGAATCTAGCCATCAGCAGCATCGACCTGAACAGCGTGAACATAAGCGTTTGGGTGAAGTGGGACGGCATAGTCAACAAGACGGACACAGTGTCGAAGAGCACATCCCCTTTCTTTTACCAGAATTTGTATTTCCCCATTCGGCTAGTGGATAAAAAAGAGCTAACCAATGATACTCTCATAAGGAATGTGTTGCCAGTGGACTTGATTTCGAAAGGGGAAATATGTTTCGAGGTCCATAACAACAATGAGATACATTCAACCATTTTGGGGATCTTCGAGCTTCCCTTCGCGGACATTTTTAACTACGGCACGGAAGATTACCGGTCCCTGGCTCAGGTGTGTTCTTCCGCGGCACGGGATTCGGCGGCACGGGCTTCTTTCAGTGTGCACTCAGGGAGTGTGTCCCCCAGGGTAGCTACTACCGGGCAGCTACTACCGGGCAGCTACTACCGGGCAGCTACTACCGGGCAGCTACTACTCGGGTTGTTGCTGCCTCGTTCTGATGCACATCCTACTGCACGCTGCCTCCCCCCGCAGGAAACTTCCCAAAGCAGCTACCCCTATAACGACTACAAGGACAACTACGACGCAGCGAATGAGGGGATGGAACTTTCCAGCGACAATTATGACGACTACTACGTGAGGAAATATAAAACCGTCGTGTATAAGAACACCTTAGGTAGGAGAAGCGGCAGAGGGAGAGAAGCGTGGCCGCACGTGAGACTACCATCTGGGGGATAGTTCCAACTGGAGATATAGCTTTCTCGAAGCCTCTCCTTTGAACTTCCCTTTCAACATCCACTTCGTACACATGTGTACCTTCCGTTTTGATGTCTCCCCCCCCTCCACCACAGAGCTGATGTACTCCACTCTCCACTTGAAAGCACTGAACATGGAGAGCATCCAGACGAAGAAGGAGTCTACCATTTCGGTGGAGGCCTTTGTTATCCCCCCATTGCCCGATGGATTAGTCTTTCTGGAAAAGGGGAAAATGCAGAACGCTTCGATGATTTACAAGTCCTTATCGAAGAGGTGGGAGAGAAAGAGCGTCTTACCTCTCCGTTGGAGTGGTCCCATTGGTTTAGCTACGAAGATACAGAGGTCTATACATTGCATACGTATGTTTGGGAAGGTAGATCCTTATTTCATATGACTTCTCCTTTTTTTTTTTTGCTTCTCCTGCTCCTCTTCAGGTGGGAACGGGACTTCTCCAAGTTCAAGGACACGTACACCCAGTGGTTCCCCCGGGCGGATAAAAATAGGAGGTACGAGATGGCAGAGGAAACCGGGAGAATCGCGTTTTCAAGATGGCACGGTTGCACGCAAATGGGAAGCCACATGCGTGTGTCTCTGTCATAGTGCAATCCGTTTATTTCTAAATGCGTGTGTGTGTGCCAGTGTACGATCTGTTTATTTCTTTCCTTTCTTTTCCTCCCCTTTTCAGTTTCCCCTGTGTGAGCAGAAACGAGTTTGATAGCAACCACTACCCCCTGTGCAGCTTCGTCACTTCGATTAATTTGCCCGCCCAAGTGTCCACTCCGGGTAGGTGTACCCACGCGTTAGCATGGTGGTGGCACTACAGAGGATGCCTTTTCAATGTGTCACCTCCCACCTGGTCACCTCTACCACTCCACTTTCACCTCGTCATCTCCACCCCTCCCTGCAAGGCCCCCTCTTCCACTGGCTGAACAACATCGAGTACATTGAGAATGAAGACGAGTCGTCGATCTTTACCCCTCCGTATTTTTTCCTGTCGTACAAGAAGGGGACGATACAAGACCACGTGCTGTTGCTGTGCTGCTGCCTGAAGGGCCTGGAGTACGACGCGTACGTGTGTAAAGGTAGGAGGGGATCCCTGTGTAGTGAAGATGTGCAAGTGTAGGGGACATGTGTACGTGTGGTGGGACCCTCCATGTGAACATCCCCGCAACACGCGGACATCCCCATCACACGTACACATACCAATTTGTCC